TAATTCAAAATTATTTTGAAAAAAAAAAACTATAAAAATCACTAGGAACACATTAAATACATTTGTTGTATTGTCTGCAATTTCTAAAGAAAATTTAGAAATCACTACTTTTTTTTATTTACGTTTTCCATACTGTTTCAACTTTTTCTGATTTGGGGTTGTAATAAATAATAATAAAATAATAAGAAATAATGTAATAATAAGTAATAACAGTGTTTTCCCCCAGCATGACTGTATTTCCCTGCTAATTTTTAGAGCTCTCTAAACCTCTAAAAAAACAGAGATTCAACTATTAGCAGATTTGTCTCATTTTAAATAAACACTGAAATAAAAGATGGAAAATTTACTTTCTCTATTGATGTACTTTTGATATTGACAAATTAATGTTCAAATATAGTAAATGTATTGCGTTGATAAAGAAAATAAAGTCAGTTCCGTTATGCTACTGTTATGCATATATTATGTTATGTTAAATTACTCTTAGGCCTGTGTGGGAAATGTTCAAACCATGTGTGCTTAAACTAAACCCATGTTAACCTGTGCCCTGCTCACCCCAGCAGGAAGATGTTAACTCTCCGAACAGGGTTTACGAGATAAACATGCTCATCGTCTCATTTCTGGACACTTTTATGGTCTGCATCAGCACTAGTATTTGATAAAAAAAACAATCTGCTACGTTTCCTCAGTTTCCTTTGCTTACTTTCCCACCCCTCCAAATCCTATTAGTTGGAGATAAACTTGGCACCATCACTTTAAGATAATAAAAACCTCACATCCTGTTCTTAAAAACACGATCCTCTCTTGTCTTCTCATATTTAAAGCATTAACTATGAGAGTGAACGACATTTTAGAAACCATTAGTGTGTCATCTCCTATAATTATTAGGTCTCACTTTTCCTATTGTTCAATTCACACTATTAACAAACCATTAAGTCAGACTTGTAGCTAAATAAACTACTAATTATCTGCTAATCAATAGTTATTAAGGTTGGGTTTAGTATTAAGCAGAATTAGAGATGTAAAATAAGAACATACTTTATAAGTGCTAATAAACAATATGTTACAAGTAAAAAGCTGGTAGTAAATAGTGTGAATTGTTACTTAAACTAGCTCTCTTATGTTAAACCAAATATGATCTTTCTCATTTTGAGGAGTTTGGTACTTTCCCAAGCATTCTGTCATCATGGATGTCATTGTTTTAAAGACAACAAAAGAGGCCAAAACGCCTTAACCACATGTGTAATCCATCTAATCATCATTCCCAGCCAATGGAAGTAAAACGCCTGTCAAAACACAATGCTAATGAGTGAAAATATCATGTGAGCAGGACCAGAGGGTTTCCCTGCTGATATCTGGTGTTTTCACTTCAATCCTTGTGATTTGTGTTTGATCCTTGTTTTTTCTCTCACACACACAGACACACACACAGACACACACCCACAAACACACACCCATAAAAACCGACAAAGCTGTAGTCTGGCAGACCACAGATAAAGAGGCCTGATTTGAGGCCTTTGCTCAGGAGAAATCAGGACGGAAACTATGAAGAGCAGAGGGCTTTATATGCCACATGTGCAAAAAGAATTTTAGATCACCACCAAATTTCATCCCCTTCCTTTCTGGTCATTTTTCTGATCAGATGCTTCCTTTCCATCCAACCTAAAATCTTTCTCAGCTGGTTGAACCAAGGTCCGGCTATCTATTTACAGCTCCAGGCACAATAAAGATGAGGTTACAGGAGGGATATTTGATGTGAGGCATGTGGATCTCAGCATGAGGTCATTTATTTTCAGGAAATTAAGCAAGGTTATTGCATTACAGTGTAGAAAGTAACTTTAGCAGAAAGTAACTCCAACATAATAATGTGTTTATATTCACATATAACATAATAGTGTACAGAAAATGCGTACATATACGTATATGTGTACTGTACATATTAGGCATGGGACGATAACCGCTTTCAAGGTATACCGCAGTTTAGAAAAGTCAAAGTTTTAAAACCACCAAAATTTTCTGTTTTACTGTTGGCATGGTTCTGTATAAGTTAGAAAGATTTTTTTTTGTTGTTTTTTTACAGTACAGTTACTCCAGCAGAAAAGATATGCAATGATGCCGTTTTTAATTTTAAATAAATCTAAGTGTGTTTTTGAAACTAATAAACATAGCAGAAGTCAATGATATATTTGAATTATTCAGCCTGACAAGTTTACTGTTCCAAATATTATAAATGTTTCTCAAAATAAAATATATTGACTATGTCTGAAATCGCCTACTACTCAGTAGGTATTTACTACTCGACCTTTCTATCCAGTTTGAATGTGAGTAGTATGATTGAAGCTAAGGAAGTATGGATGCCATTTTGTCATGATCACATGACATGCCCGCATCAGCTGCGTCGCTTTACTCCCATTCGTGATTTCTCTCGTGGGGCATCATGCGATTGCAAGACCCAAGGTGTTGTTTAACATGCATTTTTTATTTTTCTTAGCTATTTGGGCTTATTGGAACTTAAATAGAATAAAATTCTAAGTATTGCCTTTTGATATGATGCACTTATAGAGAAAAATGATGTCCATATAAGTGGACTCGGGGTCTGAATTTACATAAAACACTTTTTTTCTGAATGTTTTTTAATGCATAGATAACATAGATTTTTTTTTAACTTGTTTTAATATCAGAGAGTAAAAACTATTTTTTTATTCCCAATTTGGACAGTTAAAAATAGTGTTCGGGACATTTCATCTGCTACAAAACAGTTGCAGGATGACACTGTATGTTTGTAACAAAAAAATAAAACATTCAAAAGTATTTTAAACAGCCACTTAAGAGCTGAAATGTGCTGTCCACATATGTGGACACTCAAGCCCTAGGAGGATATCATAGTGTCCATTGGATGTGAACTTTAGAATCTCACAGGAAGTAGTAGGTCTTCCAGGTACTTTTTGCATACTGTTTTTTAATTCTATGAATTCAGACATACTACTCGGCTCACAGACTGTTTTAGTGTACTGTATTGAATGGAAGCAATCACAAAACCCTGAATCCATAATATTTTTATCCAAAGTTATCATACCATTAAAATCTTATACCGGCGCATGCCTAGTACATTGATATATTTTTAGTTTTATTTAAATGAAATTGCACATTAATTTTTAAATACCAAAATCAATCTTTTAGTATGATGTATTATTTGTGAGGCAGCACGGGGGCTCAGTGGTTAGCACAGAGCAAGAAGGTCACTGGTTCAAGTCCTGACTGGACCAGTTGGCATTTCTGTGTAAAGTTTGCGTGTTCTCCCCGTGTTAACCCCTGGTTAATAAGGGACTAAGCCGAAGGAAAATGAATGAATGAATAAATAAATTATTTGATGTGTAAATACTATTTTAATTTTGATGTGTATAGATTAAAATATGACAAAACATTTTATAGAGCACCTCACAACCAATAAACTTAAGATGTTTTTTTACACATTATTTTTATTATTATTTATTATTATTTAACCTTATTTAAACTGCTGATCTGGGCAGTGCGGTGGCGCAGTGGGTAGCGCTGTCACCTCACAGTAAGAAGGTCACTGGTTTGAGTCCCGGCAGGGTCTTTTGGCATTTCTCTGTAGAGTTTGCATGTTTGCCTCGTGTTCATGTGGTTTTCCTCCGGGTGCTCCGGTTTCCCCCACAGTCCAAAAATATGCTCTATAGATGATTCCGGTAAGCTAAACTTGTGGAGTTTGTGGAGTATGTGAGTGAACAAGAGTGTATAGGTGTTTCCCAGTGATGGGTTGCAGCTGGAAGGGCATCCACTGCGTAAAACATATGCTAGATATGCTGGCAGTTCATTCCACTGTGGTGATCCCAGATTAATAAAGGGACTAAGCCGAAAAGAAAATAAATAAATGAAACTGCTGATCTGTTGCTCAAGAAACATGTTTTAAATTATAAATAGTAAAAAAAAAGATTTCCTGCTTGATGTATGTGAAAACTGATCATTTTCTAACAGTATTTATTTTGTGTTTTTAAAATAACCACTTTATTTTATGATTTTTTTTAAAACTGGTGCTTATCAAATGAATTCATCTTTGCGGAATAAAATTATTTTATTTTTATTGTGAAATTTCAATTGATTTAATTAATATACATTTGTTAACACATGAACAACTAACATCAACAAACACTGAAAAATATACTCGTCTTTGTTAATGTTGAAAAAAAGTTAAAGGTAATTGTTAGTTTGTCAACTCACAGTAAATTAACAAATGTTAAAAAGCACAACTTTCGACTTTAATAAAAATGTTTAACATTTTAAAATGTAAAAAACTATGATTAATAAATGCAGCACAATACTGCTCATTCTTAGTAAATACATTAACATTATCTAAACCATTATCTTGTTTTATACACAGGAGTTTATATAGTTTTATTCTTTTTTAACATTCATTTAATTTCATTTCACACCATAAATACATTTTTGCAGAATTTACTTCAAGACCAAGGATTGTCAAACATTTACAGCATCTATCCATGCTTTCTCTTTTTTTCCTCTGATGGGTTGAGGCATCATTGTTTGATAAACACAAGCAAGTATTCATCAAAATGCCAAACATAAAAAAGATGTTTAGGCACCGTAAGATCAATTCACATTGCACCACCAGACAATCACTACTACAGTGCATCGTTTGAACTCGTCAAATCATAACTGAAAGCTGTTTTAACAATTGTGTATCATCTCGCATAATCTGTGCACAAACAATCACAGAAACAAAAAGTCTATCACTTTACCAATTCAAATATTTTTAATGGCCAAAAAAGTGGCCAGTTTCTAACAACACTTTTCCATTAGTGCTCACTCCCAAGTGCTCTTGTGAGGATGATTTTATCCCATTAGGAATGTAGCAACAGTGTTTTTAGAATAAACCAAATAATATTATCACAGAAAATCTGAATCTCCATGATCCACCCCAAACCTGTTTTTGGCCACCTCTTTCAAACAGCACTGATACTTACAGCTGGATTCTCTCTTGAATGCCTTGCTGGACGACTGATAAATAGTCTTGCAGTCTTCATTCAGTTTCAAAAAGCGGGTCTTCTTCCACGAGTTGGACTTCACTTTTATCAGGTCTCCACCTCTGAGCAAAAACTGTAAGTCTGGGTCTTCATCCAAACCTAAAGGTCAAGCAAATGTCACACATCAGATGGGTCATAAAATGGGCTAAGTGGAGTCAAAGTTTCCTAATTTATGAGATCAAGTGTATCTTAGGAAGTAAAAATACAGATACAGTTTCACTATCAGATGCTGAGTCATCTCTAGGTCAAACCTATTGAAAAAGGTGTTATAAATGGTTGCAGTAATGCTAATGCCTGGACACACCTTTTTTTTAAACAAAAGCTAAATGATCTTGCAGAAATTACTAAGCTTTCCTAAAGGTCAAAACCTGCTGGGTGAGCTGGAAGTATGATAAAGGTAATCTATAGTTCTTAAAAAACGTTGAGTCTTAAAAAAAGACTTGATAAAAAACAATAACCTTCAAAAGAACCAGTAAAAAATACATATGAACATATTACTCAAACCACAGACCTAGAGTATTAATACAATAACAACAATAATAATAATTAAATTTTTAATGGATAATCAATTGAATAATAATAACAACCTTGAAGTGGCCTAATTTTTTTTGTAAATTAATTTAAGATACATGACCCATTTCTGTTAAAAAAGAGAAATTCTGAAAATGCTGTTAACCAGACCCCCTAGTTTTTGTCTGAACCCAATGCAAAATCAACAAAAATTCGCAAATGTTTGCGATCCTGCAAAAATCTTAATTTAAACACAAAATAATTGCAAAAAATGTAAACAATCTCATAAAACATCCTATTCTAAACCATATAATCAAATTGCATTTATTTCAGTTTGCATATAATTGTTTTACATGACTTATAGACATTGCATACGCAGCACATGAGATTTACTTGAGTGTCGAAAAATCACCTGAGCTCTCACAATCATTACATTACATGAAAGCGGGGGGGATTGTTTTGCAGACAGTGCAGTAAGTAGACGTAGATGTAGCGTGAGTGATTTACATATCTCAATATATCTACTCAATCATATCTACAAGTCAATGAAAAGATTGATTAGACATCCTGTGGAGCAAATCGAGTGAATTACAAGGCGCAAATTGGCTGTTTTGTGGTTTGACGTGCCTCAGACTGCAAAAGAAAGTTGGAGCAAACATCTAACAAATGGTTCAATAGAACAGACAGAAAAGCAGTTTGCAATGATGGTGATTGGTCTAAGAATGACAGTCAGTGCACATGACGTGACCCAATTATTTGTGCTTTACATGAATGGCTGGTAGCCGCGTTGACACGAGAAAAGGCTTCCCTGACATTGACAAGTTTTACAGCAATCCGTGTTTAAGGTGTATTACAGTAGGGGAATCCCTAACGCATATCATGAGTGAAGTACATACATGATGTCAGATACTCCGGGGATTGAAATATAAGAAAGAGAAAGTAATATTGTGGATAAAAATAAGAGTTCTACAGCCTTCCTTTGGCTTAATCCTACCATTTTAAATCTGTTTTAAATTTTGTCTTAACGAGAGACCAGAAAAAAGAAGCTGTATTTTTATGATTTGTGTCATTGTGTCATATTGCATAACTACTGTAAAATATTGGCTACCTAATATGGTAATTAATATACAGTTGAAGTCAGAATTATTAGCCCCCCTTTGATTTTTTTTTCTTTTTAAATATTTCCCAAATTATGTTTAACAGAGCGAGGAAATTTACTTAGTAAGTCTGATAATATTTTTTCTTCTGGAGAAAGTCTTATTTGTTTTATTTCGGCTAGAATAAAAGCAGTTTTTAATTTTTTAAAAACCATTTTAAGGACACAATTATTAGCCCCTTAAAACTATATATATTTTTTTAAAGTATACAGAACAAACCATCGTTTTACATCAGCTTGCCTAATTGCCCTAAAGATATTCTTTCCTACTTTGGAATTTGGTGGTTACCAGCATTGTTCAAAATGCAGACTTAGAACCATTAAAAAGCATGTAAATCATTAAACTATTACATATTTTACTAACAGTCCTGTTTTTTTTGTTTTTTTGGGTACAATAACACTGAAATGTAACACTGACCACATGCATATACAAAAAATATTTATAATATTTGGTTGAAATCATAAACCCACAGCTCTTATTCAGAATAAAGATTAGAAATAAAAATCAGTGCTCAAAAAATTGCAACAGAACATTTGAAAAAAATATATAGGCAATCTTAAATTAAAATAATATTAATATCAACTAAAACCTTTTTGTTGCTTGCAATAAAATAAAATAAATAAAATCAATGATCATTAAAATATATTTTCTTTTCAAAATTTGGCGTTTTATTTAGTTTAACTTGAGGTACTTATTAACAAATTTAAATAAAATATTGACTAAAAGCACACACATATATAATTATTCATTTAATTAAGAGAAGATCAATATAACATATGAACTCCTTACAATACACCAAATATATTGATACATATAATGACATAAGGGGCAAAGCAGGAAGAAGCAAGAAGGTCGCTGGGTTGCTGGTTCAAGCCTCGGCTCAGTTGACGTTTCTGTGTCGAGTTTGCATGTTCTCCCTGCGTTCGTGTGGGTTTCCTCCGGGTGCTCCGGTTTCCCCCACAGTCCTAAGATATGTGGTACAGGTGAATTGGGTAGGCTAAATTGTCTGTAGTGTATGAGTGTGTATGTGTGAATGGGTGTGTGGATGTGGCTGGAAGGGCATCCGCTGCGTAAAAAACTTGCTGGATAAGTTGGCGGTGCATACTGCTGTGGCAACCCCAGATTAATAAAGGGATTAAGCTCACAAGAAAATGAATGAATGAATGAAAAATGACATAAATATATTTCTCAGGACTGACTTTCACATAGTTATGTAAGGATTATTTTATCTATAAAACAAGCAAAGACACTATACAGTGTATGTGTTTGTATGTGATGTGTAGTCAGTTCATGTCAATGTCGCAACAAAGATCAGTTCTTCCATAAAATGTTTTTATTTCCTCTACAGGAGTGGCTGAAATTGTAATTGTATTGCACTTTATGCCTGTACTATTACGATTAGGACAAAAATAAAAGTGATACAGAAGTGACCTTGTTGAACTTTAAAGGTTCATGAAACCCTCAAGGACTTTTTTTGAGATTTTAATAGATTTGTGTTGAGCATCAGTTAAGACAATGTTAGCACCTGTTAGCTTTAATTGGCAAAAGCTGGATAATTTAGAGCTTTTGTCAGCTAATTTCATCTTCCGGGTCTAAAATTATTATTGGGTAGGATAAAAATCGGCGACGTAGCGCAAAACTGTAAGTCCAAAGATGACGCGTCAGTTTCTCATTATTAGCTGAGTTTTCTTATCCTATGAGAAGAGCCCGCTTCTTAATTATTCATTACTACACATGCTTTCCGAAGGCAAGGCAGACCTGCCAGTGCCAAGCTGTGAGACACAGACCCACGGCACACTGTATTTAGCTGTTCATGAAGGGTCGTATGTGTTTGTTACCATGATCCACGGGTTTTGTTGCATGTTTTTCCCTGTGATGCTGTCAGGGCCGATACAGCAGAGCTGTTTGTGTCCAGCAAGCATTTTTGTCGGGAGAGCAGTACGAGAATTGGAGAATGGCGGACTTTGTCTTTTATCAGGAGTTTGTTCACATTTAGACACATCACCATGCTGCTGTGTTTGCCTAAATCCTCCAGATTACCAACAGGGCTAATGGTTAAAATAGACAGGGCAAGAGAGCTGCTGCACTGAGTCTGCATTCAGACCTATGATTCAGACCCGGGGATTGAGGGAAAAGTCCTCATTTATAGTGTTTATATGAACACGATTATCTTTATAATTATATAAATTGTAGTTATGTGTATATGAAATTATAAATAAAAAAAATCTAGCAAGGCATTAAATTACTGTTTTTTTCTTTGCATTTTAACTTTGTAAACTATAAAATCATGTGTCTCCTCAAGGTTTGTGTCTCATTTTGTAAACTAACTGACAAAAGTTGTTTGCTCCCCTCCTTCTCCCCTGCTGGCCACGCCCACTCCTGCCCTTTGCTTGCAGAGCTCCACGCCAATTATGATGCATGTTTTGAAAAAATTCTGAGGTAGACCTGAACCGAAAGTGGGGAGTGTCATGACCCTTTAACACTGCGACTTTAATTGGCCCAACAGCTGAATTATGAATATTTTTCAACTTCTATGATCCAAGGGTGTGAGCAAAACCACAACATTGCAGACATTTTTTCACAAGCTGTTTTGCCACAGAGGCTGTTTATGATTTGAGTTGAGAGTCTGCCTACTTTGAAACGGGCAGAAAACATTTTCTGTGCTGGGATGATTGCCTGTGTTTATTCAGAACAGTTTATTCCGAGTTTACTCCGTTTTATTTTGATACTAGTATTTCTGTGGGATTAAGCATTAGGGAAAATATGAGAATCAAGCTTTAAGCTCTACATTCAAATCAAAATCCAGAGTTACTTAGCATGCAAATGTGTAGATGTTGCTAAGTTCAAAAAATACTCTCCGGATATCTAATTTCTGTGACCTTTGATGAAATTAGAGCCAGATGTGGAATTTTGGATGTGCCATTGTTGAACAATTAAAGCCAGAGAAATTTCCAACACATGGAAAAAGAAGATTTTTATAAAAATATTAGCAGCTAAACTGTTGACGATTGACTTTCATAATTAATGTTACATATTTTGAAAATCTGGCCCTTAAATTTGCACAGATTTTAGGATTAATTAACAATATGTTTCATAAATTCTGTATTTTTCTCCAGCACTGGGTTGCGGCTGGAAGGGCATCTGCTGCATAAAACATATGCTGGAATAGTTGGCGTTTCATTCCATCGTGGCAACCTCTGATAAATAGTGGACTAAGCCAAAGATAAATGAATGAATTAATTCTGCAATTTCCTATTCCAAAAACAAAATCTGCACAAAAGCAGCAGTATGATTTTAAAACCATAACAAGTTTGTGAGTCATGTCAAAGACAGCTGACTGCAGAAGTTATGCAACTCCGCAAGTGCGTAACAACTAAAAATATGCCAAGAGTCGTCTTCTTCTTATCTTTTCTTAAGTTTGAAACCTGATTGTTTTCCATTCTTCCATTAAACACAATAGAAGTTATTTAAAGCAGAATGCACAAGGTGCTCGTCCTGTACAGTATTAGAATTAAGGGTGAAGGGGCTAAAAATAAGATGGTGTCAATTTAATGCTTTTAAATTTACACCATCTTATTTTTAGCCCTTTCACCCTTAATTTAAAATGCATAATGAATTGCAAATAAGGTGTTTACTTTAAAAGTAGCAAATTGAAAAGTCAAAATGTTAATGAAATAATGTTACATCTTCATACTGCATGACATTTTTTAATCTAAAATTAAACAACATACTTATTCTGACTAACATTTTAAAGAATTAAGGTTATTGGTTTATTTGATGAAATAAAGTGGCATTAAGATTTTTACAGACTATGAATAGTATTACAGGGCTACATTCTAATCATTAAAAAAAGTGTCATCAAATTATCCTGGCTCTAAATATGTATACAATATGATGACTTTTTAAAAATATATCAGCTGTTACACTGAAAATACATGGTAAAAGAATTATGATCAGTCAGTCAGTTTTTCTCAGACTTAAAGATTGAAACAAGACACATTAACTGTAAAAAATACATGGTTGCTGTAAAATTTTAACTTAAGCTAATAAAACAATTACAATGAAACTTGATTAACTTTGCTTAATACGTTATGCTTAAAATAAACACATATGTTGTTAAGTAATTGGCTAATTGATCATAGTTTTATAAATAATGCTGCTGCATTGCATTTGATGCTTGATGCACCATTGATTCCACTGCTACAGTCAAGTAAGATTTTCATAATAACAATAGCGAAGTCCGATCCTCACTCAAACCTAAATACAGCTTCAAAAAACTTGCAGAACTTAATGAACTATTTTTGATATTTTTAATCCTTATTTAACCTGACAGACAACTTTTGGTCTTGTTTCCTCAAAATCATATCTTATTACACATTAGTCATAATTATGTTGCCATTATAAGTTCATTTCTCTTCCAGCAGCTCTGCTAGTCTGAATAAAGGTACGACATATGCACTGCATACATATGTTTGAACATTACTATGCATGTAAGCATGTTTAAATGGCAAATATATAACAAAATTCAATGCTTCAGTTTTCTTTTGGATCAAATGAAAGTTATATTTAAAATTACATGAAGGTGCTTCGTTGTGATTATCAAAATATATGAAAACAGTAATTCAAATGTATTTAGTTTTAAGGCATAGTAAAGAAGTGGGAAATATATGATAGTTGTAGTTATGATTTTGTAGCTGTTTTGATAATCTTTTCATTCTCTTCCATTTAATTTAATTCCATTAATTAGTATTTTTTTATTATTATGTTTTTTTTTTTTTTTTTTTTTTGCAACGTTGCATCGTTGAAAGGTTGCCAAAAGATGTACAGTTAAACTCCAGTCAACCCCAAAAACTGCTCATTCTTACTTGGTATAATGTCATAACCCTACAATATTTAAAAAAAAATAAAATAATAAAAATATACACAAAATAATAAAGTATGATATATTTTAGTGAAATTTAATTTACCACCATAAAGCAAAACAACAAAAAGAAGAACGGTACAATCCTTACGAAATAATGTCTTTCTCTTAAAAGCTAACTTCAGTATATCCATGCAGTGTTTAAATCAGTTCTTCTCTTTAGTGAAGCTTCTTACACCAAACAAAATCTGATTTGCCACTGTACTACACCCACTGATTTGGTTGACTCTACACAATAAACTATATTTACTCTGTGCAATAAACTGTTCTTTTTTAAAACCAAGCACTGCACTTTTTCATATGCTACTTCTGCTTTTATTACTATTTTATCAACAGTGAATAACCACTTAATGACCTTTTACACCATTTACAGCGTTATAAAGGGTCAGTGAGCCATTTTCTGCATTTTTTTTCACATTTAGAGCAGACTGTAAGTGGACATTAAACCTTTCTTAAGTGTTATACTGGTTACAATATTCAAATGTGAACAGTAAACCTTTCCCCATGAACATGTTGATGATGGTAAACCCTTCTCTGATTTTTTTACACTTTTTACAGCATTTATAGGTGGAGTAAGAGCTCTTCTCTTACTTTCTACACTCTTTACAACATTTACAGTACGTCTTACTTTTTACACTCTTTAATACATTTTTAAATGGACAGTAAGATTTTCTTTTAAATTTTACACTGTTGAATATATAAACAGACAGTGAGCTGTTTTTCATCTACATTTTACACATACAACATTTATATGTGGACAGTACACACTGACAGCATATAAAAACGTAGTAACTTGTTACATTTTACACCATTTACAACATGTACACAGTAAACCCTTTTCTTATTCTTTACATCATATATGTTCACAATGAGCTCTTTTCTTAATTTTACACAGATAGTGAGCTTTTCTATTACATTTAACATTACTTATAACATTTATAAATGGACTGTGAGCTTTTCTACTACTTTCCACGGCATTTATGAATAGCTAGACAGCTCTTTAACTTTAGCTAGACGCTCAGACTGCTTAAATGATGTTCCATTGTTTGACAAAACTAAAAAACGACAGCTAGTCTATGCCATGTTTTGGTGCTGTACACACTTTACTCTTTGGGATTAGTGTCACGAAAGTCAGCAGCACAGTGATACTGCAGAATCGGCCGACTTAAAAACTGCACCCACCTATGCGCTTGCCATTCTCTTTTGACACGTTCTTGGACTTCTCCTGATAAATGAATTCCTCTGATTTCGTCCTTTTGAGAGGTTTAAATGGACAAGACATTGCCGTAATCCTTCACGAAAGCCCGTATTCGATTTCCATTAACTAGAAAAATACCATGACGGGAGAAAACCATGACGTTTGTGTTTTTTTTTTTCTATGGGCGGGATCCAAACCATACCGATCTTGACTCACTTGCTGTACGTCTCATTCCGCAGCAAAACGGTTGGACATGTTATGACTCGAGCACCGTGGTATTTAGAGAAAACAACGACATAATAACAAGAGAAACGTATGTAACATTTGTATCGACTATCATGTTTTCTTACCGCTTTAAAAGAAACTAAAATATCCTTCCCGACAAAGGTTTAACTTTGTAACATTGTGGTCTACAAAGGTTTCGCCTCCTGTAGATGAACCTTTGGAACAAAACGTTTAAATAAACGATTCAATTTCGTTCGACTCCTATAGCAAATTCTTGCTAAATTATCTGCTCTTTAAAAGACAGGCATGCTGACCAACAGCAAACCAATTAGTTATTCCACGACAGGGGGTTAATCATTAGATAATAAAACTTCATCAAACGTCACAAACTATAGGGATGGCGCGCCTTCTTCTGGTTAAATCCTCACATGACACTGATCAACTGCATGCCTGCATCCAGACTGCAAAAGAAATTTGCTAAAGTGTCCGAAAATGTTGTAAGGAACATAAGTTTGTTTGTTTGTTTGCAAGTTGCCTGTTTAATAAGGTTTTATTATGAATGGACTCTCAATTCTGTCTTTGACTACATGGCAATTCTCAAGTTCTCAAAATGTTATTCCAATGATGCCACGGACACATCCCAGGAAAAAATTGTTTTCGCAAAAATTTTGCAAAATTTACATAGGCTACTCAATTTACATTTCAGATCTAGGCTAAATAAAACCGTTTAACCTACAAAACTACAGAGAAGCAAATGAAATCAGCGTTTCGAGACCCCAATACTTCAAATCAAATACGTTCACTACTTACTCATTATTAGCACAACAATACAAAACTTACCGATTGACTTGGGTTTTCCGTTGAGCTCCATAATTCCCTTTACTTTTCTTTTAGTAAAAACAGCCTATATCCCAGTTGCTAAAGACGTTTCACGTCCCGCAGACAGACACCCAGAATCAAGTGGTGCTCGCCTGACTGGGTTGGGTAAAAACAAACCATTCACACACTGTCAGGAGGACAGTTTCATGCGCTGTGTGGACCCGCCTGTTATCCAGAGGAGTGCACCGAAAATTCACCAACACACCCACCACAGCAACACCGGTCTATCAAGTCTGCTCCCAGCTAATGATGATGTCCTGAAAAGTCTCATTGGTTTCCACCCTATATTCATTTCAACTGGATGTATCATATTTAAGAAACGAATCTTATTCGGAGTAATTTGCAGAATTAACTTGATTCAACTTCAGTTATGTTAAAAAAATTCCTTATGAAAATATGCCGCAAAGACAGAATTGCTAAAAAATATTGGTCCCTAATCTGAAACGTCTGCAGAAAGAAGCACATTATCTTATCAGGGGTGTAACGTAAGTGTGATGTTTGCGGTTTGCATTCAGAGTTCAGATTGAATTCCTGTGGTAAGCCAATACATTGTTTATTTCACTAAAATAGAGGTTGCATGTTGTTCATGTTGATGGGGGCATGTGTAGCTAGCAAGCATGCAAAGCAGTATGTCAAGTTTTTTAAATGTGTTTTTAAGTACAGTCATATACAGAATTATACAGTAAATGTTAAAACAAAGTGGTTTTCATGCAACTATTGTTTTGTATATCTTCAAGTGTTGTACATTAGAAATTGTAATTTGAGCATTTGTAATAATAGTGATAATAATAATATAATAATAATAATTTTACCATGATTTACAGAGGCCACTAATATATAATTAAGTATAACAGTTTATACAATATTTAAAATTATAATCCATTTTGTCACCTTTCTTTAAACCATTTGGAATTTATCCAGTTGTTTACAAGAAATGTATTAAAATCAAATAATTAATTTATCCAGAAAAAGTATGTGGTTATATTTAAATAAATGTCTGAATAATGATTAAACATTGTTTCCCTCCAATTCTGTTATTTTTTCACAAGTGTTCAGTTTTGAATTTTGATATGAAAAAATAAATAGAAGAACTTTTGTACATTTTATTTTAATTTTCATTTCAAACAGAAATAGCATATGTGTCATCTAATGTGTGTGTGAGAGAGAGAGAGTTTGTCTGTAGAGTACACATACAGTACCAGTCAAAAGTTTGGGGTCAGTAGGATTTTTAAATGTTTTAAAATAAGCTTCTCCTGCTCACCAAGGCTGCATTCATTTCATCAAAAATACAATACAAATTGTTGAAATTGTGAAATGTTATTGAACTATAGAATAACTGTTCAAAAGTAGTTTATCATGTAATTTAACTATTAATTCCAGTGATTTTAATGATGCATTTTCAGCTTCATTACTTCAGTCTTTAGAGTCTCATGATCTTCCAGAAATCAATGTAATTAATTGTATTATTATTCTTATTATTATCATTATTATTATTATTATTTTTATTATTATTACAGAATTTGACTGGTAGTGTATATGTCCAAATAAACAAGCAAATCATCTTAAAAACACACACAACATGTATCAAAAACAACAATTTAGTAATTAATTATTAAAACACTGTATTTTTATTGTTTGAAGTGTACAATTTAGACTATATTTGAAGCTTAGTATGATTAGAAGGTTATTTTTTTAATTCAGTTTTTAGAGGTTATGTCAATTTAACATTGGTACTCCAGTGAAGTGAAATGAAGTGAAGTGAGTATTGTCAGGTGCTCTATTGTTATTTTTAGGTGTGTCTTTCTCAGTCACTCACACACACAAACACACACTCACACACACACACACACACACACACACACACACACACACACACACACACACACACACACACACGCACGCACACACACACACACACACACACACACACACACACACACACACACACACACACACACACACAGTCCAGTGAATTAGGTGCCTTCAAAGGGCATTATATAAAACGTATTAGAAAACTGTTCATTATACTGTGATACTGGGACTCAAACTGAATTAAAAGTCTTTAACTCTTTAATCATTTGGCAACAACTGCCCCTTATGATGTTATGTGTTATGTGTTATTAGAGAATTATTGTAAGAGATTGTATTAATGATAAATTCATAACACAATCAGACCAATCAAACCGTCCAGGGTAAGTGATCATGCCGGAGCAAACAATGTTGTTTTGTAATGCAGTATCTGGGTGTGAAGCAATAAACCAAGGTAGGCTATGGTTAAAAAATTCCTACAATGAGCTCAATTAAATTTCATAATCCACAGGTGAGCGCAGTAGTGCAGAACACAAAACCCCTTTGCTTATTGATGAGGATTTTGAAAATCATCTTGCTTGGCAGCTACACCCTTCAAAACTGCCAAAACATACCTGAACTTCAGGCAGAGGTGTGACTGTGCATGCTATTTTTGGATAACTTATTTATAGACAAGAGTGAATGTATCTTACAAACGTTATACCCTTTGCTTTTTAGAATTTTTAAATTATAAAACTGCAAATGTGTTTTTATTCAAAACTGACTGTAAAATGCCTTTTGCTTATGATATAACTTTTATGCACTTAAAATTTGGCTTAATTAAAAAAGGTTTAAAAAGTTATACAGTACTTTTAATAGGCGAAAAATAATGCAAAAAATATAAATCACTTAACACTATCATCCAAACTCTATCACATTGACTAAACACACACAAACACTATAATATAAATCACTAAAAATCCCACAAAGACTAAAAGAACACTAAAACAACAACACTTCAGTATTGTTTGTTTTATCAGCTGTCTTTTGTCACATGGTAGACTAAAATATTAAATTTTTATTTGTTTTACTATTCTATTTGAATTATATTACTTGAATTAATCTACACACAAATGTTTACACTATGTTTTGTGGACTTTTTAAAATACAGCCTCTGTCCTAAATCGCTTGGATGGATGAGGAGCCTTTAAGAGGCGCGCCGTTACTATAGTGACTTCCTAAACAAACATGGCGGTGACTGTAATAAAGAGAACTTCTCCATTGTGTCATTTAATATAAGTGTATTTTTAGACATAAATATCTATGAGGCGTTTGCATCAACCATCACAGTAGACGTGTTTTACTACGCGAATGTTTAACGTTATATTTTTTTACCTAGACTAATATTTTAACGTCAAAACAATGGCTGATGAAACTGAACCAAAAGCACTAACGTTAAAGAGTTCAGAACCGTCAATAAACCGGCACACACCAGCTTCAAAGACAACTCAGGTAAGAAAATAACCACTGACTGAACAGTTGTGTTTAACATTTGCACTGTACAGTTAAACTTGTCAAACTGCCAAAATAATGTCAGTTGTATCTTATGCAAACCAATTTCTAGCTAAACTTGAGATCAGTCTTTTTACACTGGTGTTAACTGAGGAAAGCGTACAGCTATCATAACATGCTGAAAACATTCACTGATGCCTCATAAAGAAACACAATACATAAAAAAATAAAAAATATATATAATACATCATCTGGGTGATAACACACAATTCTAAAAATATAAGTTTCTTAACTATTATATAAATTATGTGAGGAAAACATATTTTAACATTGCAATAACAAAATAATTTTTTATAATCCCTTATTTTTAATTTAGTTACATGTCACTTCAACTGTACATTTATTTATTATCATTCATTTATTAATTCATTCATACATACATTTTCCTTCGGCTTAGTCCCTCATTTATGAACTGCTAGCTATTCCAGCATATGTTTTACGCATCGCATGCCCTTTCAGCCGCAGCCCAGTACAGGGAAACATCCATACACTCATATGCTACGGCCAATTTAGTTAACCAAAATCAACCTATAGTGTATGTCTTTGGACTGTGGGGGAAACTGGAGCACCTGGAGGAAACCCACATCAACATGGGGAGAACATGCTCACAAGAAATAGAACTCCACACAAAAGGAGAACACCACACAGAAATGCCAACTGTCCCAGCCGGGACTTGAACCAGCGATCGTCTTACTGTGAGGCGACAGTACTAACCACTAAGCCACCTTTAACAAACATTCCAAAGCATTTTTTTTTTTAAATGCAATTTTCATATTTTTGTTTTTTTTTGTGTGTGTCTACAGGACATTTCTCATCTGCTGGCCAGCATATTCAATGATCTCTACAGCACAGAGGTGATTGGGAAGGACACCGTTTCCAATCTCAGTAAATCACGAAGAAGAGGCAACAGCTACCATGAAAAATATGTTGAGGAGCTACAACAGGTCCCTCTATGTTTACATCACATCTGACAAAATGCCTGTAATAAAATACAGCTGTATTATTAAAGTTTGGGATCAGTAAGATGGTTTGAAAGATGTGTTTTGTTTCACAACTAGGGTACATTTATTTAAACAAAAACGTATTTAATTTATTTAAAACAGAAATATGAAGTGAAAACTAGATGAGTAGTCAGCTCTAAAATCTATGGCAGCCTTTGAAAATTATGGTGAAAATGCAATCATTTTAGGGCCTCCAACTGTTCAAACTTTCTTACTCTAAAAATTTGGAATCATTATTGTCCTTGGCTCAAGATGATTAGATTGCACAATGCCATTTTCAATTTGCAGATAAATTTACAAAGTGAAAATGAAAAAAAAAAAGTTACTTTGAACCGTTGTTTTGTCTACTTAATTATTTTCAGTTTATCAGATTGTTATCATCTAAATTCTAATATTTCATGATTTCATTGTAGGTGCACAGTGAATACAACAGACGTATTCAGAATGCTGATATGCTAGAGACACACATCATACAGGCCCGTCTTCAGGCTGCTGCAAAAGAAGAGCATGATCGCAACAAAATCCTGGAAGAAGTCGGTGAGGCTTACCAACAGCTGGGACTTCCCCCAGGTAGACCTCTGTACTTCTGTTGTGTTAAAAACAAAGCAGTATTGTTATCATCCACAGTCTGTTGGCAGGTTTGTAGTGCTATGACTAAAAACACAGTATTAATTATTTTTCCATAGTAAAATCAGCTTTCAAGTGGTGTGTGGACAGTGGACTTTTGAGGAGCAACAGCTTGATTTGCCCACTGGACTACACAACAGTGCACAACCCAGTTGTTAAAAGCCCAAAAGGTAACATTTCACATAAATTTACACCTCTT